TAATTTCTAACAAAACACTTAACAAATAAACGTCTTGATGCTCTTTACAATACAATAAACACTATAGCAAAACGGCTTTGCACCAGGTTTTGCACCGTCTTTTGCAGTTATCTCCATCGGCCAATCAAAACGACGGGAAAATAATTTGAATGATATTTGCAAATAATTGCGTTGAAACACTTAAATTTTATTAGCCACGACCTTTCTTTATCAGTAGGTTACTATCTTGTGCGAACGCGAAAGCCTCAAAGATACTAAAAGAAAACATGAATGAAATTGGAATTCGAATTCCAAACTAAGCAGCAGCGAAGTTTTAGAGAAAATGTTATCAAGATTATACGATGAGCTTTATTATTGTTTTCTGATTGTTTGTCGAAGCTGTAGACTCGATATTAGAAGTGGAAATGGCAATTATAGTGCAACTACGATGAAAATAAACAAATAAACAAAACTATACTAAACTAAAATGTAATGTCTCCAATTTTCACTTTTTAAACATATCTTAAAGTACTTTAGCATTTTTGGTTAGAGATATTTAAGTTTTAAGCTTATGCTAATTAGGAGATAAGTGACGTCAAATTCTCAACTCCGTTTCCTTCATAGATTTCAGTATATTTCTGAGAGTATTCGATGAATGTCTTTCAAACTTTGCAGTTCTCTTGTATTCAAAATATGAAACATCAAAATGCATCAACTGTGGTTTTTATGACGACACACTAGTTCCCTTTAACGATTGCTTTGTTAATTTTTAACTGAACTAAATCATGGATTTTAAAAGTCCATGTTATGATCCATGACTAAATTTGTGCCTACGACCATAACAGATATTTAAACCTAGCCTCACTCGATACCATCTCTTGTTAAGGTTGAATTTCAAAAACCTGAATTTTTTAAAAGAGGTGGCCTGGAACCGAGGCTGTTGCTTTGGCAACTTATCTCTATAGTTGATTTTCAAGAACAGCTAGAGTACCATAATACTACTAAATGTGGTTGATTTTGATTGAAATTGGGCTCAGACATAGCTTATCCTAATCTTAGGCCGCTTTAAAACCTTTTTACTTACTTAAAATTATTGAGAATTTGACGACATCAGGAAAAATGGCCGCCATTTTTAAACTCAGATACCTTTTGAAGAAAAAAAGATATTCTTGGCTTTCACGTCACCTCATCGAAAAACTAAAATCCAAAATATTAACTCCACGAAACTCTTTGTCRAATATTTTGTCCATTATAAGAAAAGCATTACCAAGATCATTTTGTATTATCGACGTTTGGCTTTAGCTTTATTACGATTCAAATCCGCCGCGCATTTTTAAAGAAATAGGAAATTCGATAGAAATAATACGTTTTAAACTTAGTTGATGATTTTGATGATTATTGTTATCAAAATATTAAAGTGGTTGCAATATAAGCACGATTTTTAACCTTCGTGGTTTTGGCCGCCATGTTTGTTCTCCTAAACTCTGAATGGGACACAAAGACTGCGAACCCATCAACTAAATGATGAGTATAATCAATCTCTCGTATCTTCGTATCTAAAACTTCTTTTAACTAGAACTTCGGCCGAGATACTACTCAGCTACTCAGCTCGATTAGTCTAGCTATTCTGAGCTATTACCAATACCTGTTTCAATATTATATTAGAAATAAACTTAAAAAATTATGGTAATAAAGCTCAATCAATCATATAGTTTACGTTGCTCTTTCGGTCTATGGAAGATTAGTCGTATATAAGCCTTAAGAAAATTTTCGATTACTTAGGTCAAAGGCAAGAAAAAACGATAAGTGACATTTAACTTCACTCTCACAGGTCTTTAATTCCAGGCAAAACAAACAAGGAAGTCATAAATCTGATCGTAGTGGCGTCATACTTCAAAATAACCATTGTTATCACTACTGTTGAAATGTTTATTAATAAAACAGTTGTACGATGGGAAAGCAACTGAATATAACGTCACTTCTATGCCTTTGGATCCGTGTAAACACACTATTAAGCCAATGAGAGAGCAAACATTTATTTTATGTCTTTTATAATTTAAAATTGATTAAGACAGAATGACACCTAATATTCAAGGGTTGCAAGCATTCCAAGGAGAGTCAAAACAAAAACGTTGGCCAAATCCACAAGATATTGTTTTTTTAGCAGTTCTTTGATTGACGGTCTTCAAAATGCGTTGGCGAACGAAACATTGAACTTCGCAGATCGCACATGAACGATAATGGTTAATAATAAAGCCGACGACCTGCAATGCAACATCATGAAATACAAAACAAACATGAAAAAATAAAATAAAATAAGAGACAATGAAATAAAGCTTACAGATTTATAGGCGTCACTGTTGAAATATTTTTCAATTTTTTTATCGTCACTGGTGAACCTACTCCTGGTGATATCTTCTTTAGTTACATATTGACGAGAAGATGCCAAGAAGTTGTTGACCGTCTGAACGACTCTCTCGGCGTGAATGAAGGTAGTATTGTCTGCCAGTACTCTTTGGGCATCTGTACTCCTTAATGTAGTACCAAGTTTCCTTGTGTATCTGAGAAAAAAAACATGCGTCATGCTACAGACAATGAAAAATAGTTTGTGCTATACCCCTTGCCACRATATTGCGAAATTGCGAAGAGCAATCAACAAGCATTTCAAAGCCCAACTTGGCTGCGCATCTCTATCATTTCGCTTAGTAGATTGAAAGTGTAGCTAAACTGAACTCGATGGACCCATGCTCAGTGTTGTTCTATCCCTTAAGGCGTCATTCCTATCAGTGGTAGGTATTTACCGGCATCCATAAGCTCTAAACGCCAGAGAATGACTCGTCCTTGATTTTACATTTGGTGGAAATATCCTTTCAGCTTGTTGCTGAATAGATCTGACAAGAGTAAACGAAATACAATCAACAAAGGAGTACCACTCAGAGAAACCCCGGACCCTGACACATGGGTTAAGTTCTCTCTGATCCCCCCTTGACCCATGGATCATGTCTTACACCTACACCCCTCTCTGATCCCCC